AAAAAAAAAAAAAGACTATTCCTTTGGATATAACTATGTTAATACATGCTAACTGACCAGAATCAAATGGGAAAACATTCATGGGTGATGAAGAGATAAGAACTGAAGAGTGTCCAGTGTCCTGATGATTCAGGAAAAACAGAAATGGTAAAGAGGATCTTAGAGTCAGAGGTGGAAGGAAGAGGAAAGGAATAGGCTGATTCCTATAAATCTGAAGTAAAAGCCAGAATGAATGAAACACTCAAACCCAAGCCTTGGAGACTCTGAAGAATTAGGCCAGAGATATTTTGGCCAGTCCACTGTAAGGAAATTTAGGGCCCAGGAGCAAGGACCTGTTTTCTCATGAACCAGGAAACCTAGACAAAGATCTTAGATTTGATCTGTAAGTGAAATCAGCCTAGAACAGAGGAAAGAGCCTTCCTAGAAGTTGCAAAATTCAGGGAGCCAGACCTGGGGAATACTTGGCTTGGTTTCTGAGCAGGACAGAGCAGAACTCTGTATAGTTCTGCAATTCCTGACCAGAACTCAGGCTGTGCCCTAAGAAAGCTTCACGAGGCCCTGGGAAGATTCTGAGCAAATTCTGCTGTTGAGACCAGGCTATGAGGCAATGATCATTCCTGGAGTTGAGAAGCCATGACCTGGCCCATGGCCATGGATCTGGAGACTATGAAGGCAGGACACCCAGTACTTCCTTTACGTAAGCCAAGATTTAGAGTATGAGTTAAAGCAAGACACTTCCCATCTCTGGACTTTAATTTCCTCCTCCACAGGTTAATGTACATTTGAGTTATAAGAATCAAATTAAAAACTCAGGCATCAAAGTGCTTTGATAATGATATAAATGCTCTTCATGTGAGTCATTATCCCTTCCTCTTCTGCGTCACTCTTACTAATGTAGACCACAGGAATGCCTACTGCTTGGGCATCATTTACTAAAAATACATCTCAGACTCCTCTGAAGCCATAAGCAGCATCCTGGTGGTCTTGCTCAGCCTTCCGTGGAGGATGTGGACCACATGTGAGTGGAAGAGAGGTCCCCCTTGCAGCTGAATTACGGCTCAGACAGGCTCTCTGTGATGCCCACAGCCTTGACTTCAGGAGAGGTCTGAGGAAAAGAGTGCATGTGTGTCCTTCAGCAGTTGACTCATTCAGAAGTATAAAATGCAGCCATCAAAATGTCTTCCAGTTTCACCTGGGATATAAGGTATTCTTTGTAGTGTGGTAACCGTGGTTTCTCTTCAGAGTGGCTAAACCAAGATTAGGCAACCGTGAGGGCCAGGCAAATGTCAAAACTCATTCCAAAACACCCTGCTGTATGCAGGGAAGGTAGTGGGATGAGCTCCTTCCGAGACTGCCGAGCTCAAGCCACTAGAAAACCCATTCAAAAACGTTCCTATCTCACTTTCAACAGCAATGCGTTCACCATCAGCTCGGTCAGCACCAACCCCCAGGTACTTGTGCACAGCTGCTCTGCTGTAGCGGAAGTCCTCCTCGTGGTGATGTAACATCAGTGAGCAGCTCAGAGCATGGAGGAGTCACTGTGGAACACCCAGAGAGACGCCTGGTGCCCCAGCTTCCTCTGGTCCGTGGCCTTCACATAGACTTCCGACTTCCCTGGCACTCACAGGCCATCACAGGCTCAGGAGCAGGTTGGAGGCTAAAACACCTTTACCAGATAGAGATAACCAAGACCAAACGAGGCTGGGTCCTAAGAGCTCTCCCCAGCAGGGCCTCAGGCTACTCCCAACGACTGTAAGGGGGAAAATCCAGCAAGTGGGCGGCCAGATGGAGTCGTACTTGTCACACTGCAGTACACGGGGAGAGACAGTCTAACCTAGTCCCCGAGCACGAGCAGAGCCAGGAACCCATGCTCTGGTCCCAACTTTGCCAATGCTCAGCTGTATAACTCTTAGGTGGGTTACTTAACCTCTCTGTGTCTCAGTTTCCACATCTTTCAAAGGGGAATATGAAAGTGGCTTCCTCATAACACTTCTATGATAAACAAAGACATAAAATGGAAAAATACATGTAAAAACCTATGGGAAGAGATAGAAAAATGCTACACAAAGTATTATCATTTAATGATAAGATGCTCAAAATGTTGTTTGGTGTCCTCAATCTTCACACCCTCCACCATGCCTAATCCAAGCATTCAGACAATGAATTCCCACCAAAAGAAAGCCCTTTCTCTGATCTCAGTAGGTTTGTGTATAACCAGTACCTCTCTCAGTCAAGTAGACCCAAAGGCTGCTCTGGGCAGCCTTTCTCAGGGAGTCCAAGCCATGAAGAAGCCTATAAAACATCGGGAAAAGGCTGGGCCACTTGCTCCTCCAAACCTCTGCATGAGCCCGGGTTAATAAGGGCCAGGGGCAGGTCAAGATGAAAAGTCAGAGTTCCTAGGACCTTCACTAACCCCACTGCCAACCCAAAGGCACACAGTAGGGCAGCATCCCCTTGCTGATCAGAGATCCCTGTGGGCTACCCACACAGGCAGCGTGGACTCCATGCTTGCACATGGTTCACCTCCTTTCCTTTGTACTGTGTGTGGGGACAGAACCAAGACTCGTTAAATAAGCAGTGGCATTTTCTGTGTGGCTTCTACTACACTTGAGCACTGGCAATCCCCATGTTGCCTTCTGAACTACATATACCTAGAGCTAGCTGCCTTCTGGTCATCTTCTTATGTAGCTTCCACAGGAGAACACCAACAATTCAAACTTAATTTTTTCCTCCCCCCAAATAGGCCCTTCTTCCCATGCCCCCATCTCAGTGAATGGCAACCCAGTGGGCAAGACAGACCTGGGTGTCAAGCCAAAGGATTTTCTCTCCCTCACTTTCCATCACCAATCAGACTTCAAGTCCAAAAGCTCTTGTGATCTGATCTCTTGAAGTCCATGCTTCCTCCTTATACCCATTGTAACTGATTCCATTTAGCCTCTCTTATTTCTCTGTATTTTGGTCTCCCTTCCTACAGCTAAAGTGAACTTTCTAAAATTTAATTCAAACCATACCCCTTGCTAGAAATCCTTCATTCACTTCTCACAACCCCCAAGACTGAATCCTAAACTCTGTATCATAATTTACAAGGCCTTCCAAGCACTCTGGTTTCACTCCCATCCACAGTACACCTCATGTTCCTACGAAGCCAAGTTGTCTGAAACCCCCTAAGCACCCCAGGCTTTCTCGCACTTCTGGACTTTCCTACTAGCCATTTGTTTTGGATATTTATTCTAGCCCTCTCCCCACTCCTTCACTAGCCTAACATCTTCAAACCTCAGCTTAAAAATCGTGTCCCAAAGGAAGTCCTCTGTGAAAAGTTCTTCTGCCAGTGTTATGTGCTCCTTCTATACACCCCAGTGACTATCACAGCCCTTTATCATATTTATTGTTGTTGCTTATTTAACTGTCTCTCCCACTAGACTGTAAGCTTCAGTGTGAGACTATCTTATTCACTGATATGTGCCTGGAACCTAGCAAAACATCTAGCATATACTAGCATATATATAAGTATATATACATATGGGTACATATATGTGTGTGTGTGTATATGTATAT